GCCGGCGCGTTGTCGTTCACGTCGGCCACCTCCACGGACACGCTGGCCGTGGCCGAAAGCGAAGGTGAGCCCCCGTCTTGTGCTGTCACCACCAATTTATAGACCGACACGCTCTCGCGGTCTAGAGCGCTGTCCAGCACCAGTGAATAATAGTTCTTGAATGTGGACATGATCTTGAAGGGGACGTTGGGCGTTAAAGAACAGATCACCTGTCCGTTGGCACCGGAGTCACGGTCGGATACACTGATCAGCGCAATGATCGTGCTAGGCTGAGTGTCCTCTCGCACTGGGAGAGACAGGGAAGTCACAGTGACTTCAGGGGCATTATCATTGACATCTAAGATTTCTACCCAGACTATACAGTGTCCTGCCATGGGGGGATTCCCCTTATCTGTGGCCTGTACTTCAATTTCATAAAACTTGTTTTCTTCATAATCCAGAGTTCCATTGACCCTCACTTCCCCATTATTTTCATCTAGTGTAAATAAGGGTTTTCTATTGGGCTTAATCGACGTCAAGGAGTATGTTATTTCCCCATTGACTCCTTCATCTGGATCTGTGGCGTTTAACTTTATCACAAAAGTTTCTTTAGCTGCGTTTTCCATCAATCTCACCTTATATTCTGGTTGCTCAAATTCCGGCTCATTGTCGTTAACATCCAAGACGCGGACCGAGAGCTGAACAGCGCCGGTGAGCTCGGGTTTCCCCCCATCCGCAGCCGTCAGTAGCAAATTAAGTTCCGGAGTTTTCTCTCTATCCAGGGACTTCTTTAATGTAAGTGATAGTCTTTTAGTCTGCTTACTATTTGTTGGTAATTCTAAAGAAAAATACTCATTTGTAGTTAGTCTGTAGGTCAACAGAGCATTCTCTCCTATATCCGCATCAGAAGCTCCCTCTAGAGGAAAATGCGAGTCGGGTTGCTTAGATTCAGAAATGAACAGCTTTTGTTCTCTGAGAGAGAACACTGGGGGATTGTCGTTAATATCTTTTACTTCCACCTCCACATGAAAAACCTGCAGCGGCCTGTCCACGATCACCTCCAGGTGGATGCTGCACTCCGCGCTCCGCCCGCACAGCTCCTCGCGGTCGATCCGAGAATTCACAAACAGAATGCCATTCTGCAGGTTTACCTCCAGAAGGTCCCCGCGGCCTTTGGACGCCACCCGGAACAGGCGCGGCACCAGCTCCGCCAGCTCCAGCCCCAGGTCCTGCGCGATGCGGCCCACGAAGGTGCCGTGTTTGGCCTCCTCCAGGACCGAGTAGTGGACTTGGCCGCTCCCCGCCTCCCAGAACGCAAGGAGCAGAAGGGACAGCAGCAGTCGCCGAGTGCCCAATCCCCTTCTTTGAGACCCAAACATCGCATACGACATTGACTGCCAAAATAAGATTCTTCACACTTACAGTACCAGAGACTCCAGTTTCGGGTTAAAAATCTTGCTGAATTTTTGAGAAGTTTCGAAAGATCCTTTAACAGTAGCGTTCGGCATGATGGAGTCGTTTTGTGTGGGGAGTTCTAGCTGTTCAGACCAACCTTTGAATGAACTATTTCCATCAAGTAAAGAGCGACACCTTGTGCCTGAAATTGTGAGTACTGTACACTACATCTAACACCACAGAATTTTACTTAAAGAGCAAAAATAATGTCATGTTATTTTATCCCCAAAACGGTAAGTGCTTATTTATGGAACATTCAGATTTTAAGTCACACTGAAACTGATGGTATGTGGAAAATAGCATTGTATTCTTGATTAACATCAAATTTAAATCTTTGTTCCTATGTTTATTTTAGAGTTATATGATTATTCTTTTACTTATCTACATATATATACACAGAGAGAGAGTTCAATTCTATAGGTAGCCTTATGAAAAGCTATGGTTAAATATTTCCTAAAGATATTGTTCCTCATATAAAAATATTATCAAATTTGAATTGTTTTACTTCTAGTCTCTCCTGTTACTAAGTGCTAGGAAACTCCAGACAAATTTGAAGTTTTAATAACAACTCTTTAGTCTTTAAGCTCTGCATATTTTGTTCTTATCTATATGCACTTGCCTTTTACTCATATCTATTTTCTTTAGTTCTGATTCGTTATTGCTATTTATATTTAATTGTGTTCTTGTTACAAGCAATTTTATATATATTGAAGAATAATAAGAAAAACAAAAATATTTTTTCAAATTTGGTAGTTTAAAACATAGAATTCACGGGGCGGACATGTGGTATAGTGGTTAAGTTCACGTGCTCTGCTTTGGCAGCCCGGGGTTCATGGGTTTGGATCCCTGGCATGGACCTACACACCATTCAAGCCATGCTGAGGCGGCATCCCACATACAAAATAGAGGAAGATTGGCACAGATGTTAGCTCAGGGCCAATCTTCCTCACCAAAAACAAAACGACAAAACAAAACATAGAATTCACAAGGAAAAATCTATTGATATAGATGAAATTTATGTTTGACATACATGATTTCTCACATAAGTTGCATCGCTAACAGTATAATGTGAGGCATCAAGATGACACTTTAGGGGGCCAGCCCTGTGGCATAGCGGTTAAGTGCGCTCGCTCTACTGCTGGGGGCCCTGGTTCAGATCCCAGGCACGCAAGGATGCACTGCTTGTCAGACCATGCTGTTGCGGCATCCCATATAAAGTGGAGGAAGACAGGCACAGATGTTAGCCCAGGGCCAGTCTTCCTCAGCAAAAAAGAGGGGGGTTGGTATGGATGTTAGCTCAGGGCTGATCTTCCTCACAAAAAAAAAAAGATGACACTTTATGTAATGGTGTCGATGATATGAAAGAAGTAGTCTTTCAACTATAGAATGAATTTTACTATCATTCAATAAAATAAATAAAAATCACCATGAAGATATCTGTGCCATATTGGTATTTCCAAGTCATCAACATTGACTTTTGTATATCTAGTCAAGATATATTCATGAAAATAGCTGACCTGTTTCTTGTTGAAAGAATTTTGCATTTGAGATCACAAGTTCATCCAAAATAAGGGAAATTATTTCTAGTTATATCTCCTCTAAGTGCCTAATATTTTGCTAAATACCAGAAAATAATCAAACAATACATCCAAATGGTAAAATACCTTAGTGTTGTGGAAATTCAATTTTATAAAGTACCAAGTAGTAAATGGGAATTGTTGATGTGAGTTTCCATTGCTTGTTGTAATTTGGTTATGTGTCCTTTGTCTTTTCATATAGCCTTGGGATTTAAGGGGGGAAAAAGAGGATACAATGGAAGTTTAAAGTAGAAAGTGATTCAGAATAAATATCACTCTAGCTTGAGTATTTTGCTATATGGTTTTGATGGTTCACCTCCAATCTAAAAATATTGCAATGACACGTGAAAAAATTACTAATATATTTATTTGTATGTTAATATTTTCCTTTATCTTGAATACACACACACACACACATATACTATTGCTAATTTCAGATCTTGTTCCACGTTTTTCAAATTTACTCCTTTCCTGATATTATCATTCTCCTAGAATTCTTATTAAAGTAAATGCAAAATTCTTTCTTAAAAAACTTATAAAGCAGACTCATCACTTTTTATGACACTGAATTCTGTTATGCATCTGTAAAACAATTAGTCTTTTGGGCCTTTAATCAAAATATAACATTAGACTAGATGACAGTAGGTTTAAAATGATATTTGAAGCCTGTCAGATTTATTTTGGAGAAAAAGGGAGCAACGGACCTCCAATCACTTCATTATGGAAATTCGGGACTGAGATATACATGCAATGTGGAGTCTTCAAGGGTAGATAGAGAGATGAATGTGAGAAAGTTTACTCAAGGGAAATGATGATATTATATATGTGAATTAAAACCAGATGTTAATGTAGGAATTACTTTCAAATACATAATGTGGTATTATGCGAGTATATGAAATGACATTGGAAAAACACCAAGTCATAAAAGAGTTTGATATATTGTACGAACCAATTACCCATCTTTTCCTTTTGGCTAAGATATTACAGATATCACCATCTCAGCTAGCCCCTATAAAAGAGATTATGCTATCTTTGAACTCATCTTTGGGGATGGGCCTGAGATCTGGTAATAGGCTAATGCCAAGAAGTCACATCAATATCGTTGTTAACCTTGATTTTATAAAATCAGTTGAAAAGACTGAAGAACTCTGCACCTGACCTTTACTAAACCAATCTGGTTAATCTTAAGTTCCAACTGTGTATCCTTCTAGTCATGTATTAGAGTGCGTGGTTTAATGTTCTACTAGTCCTCATCATCCACTAATATTCCATAATAGATCTAGTACTATTATTTATTGAAAACATAAAACAGAGAAATAAATCTTGAAGCCATTCATGGAAACCCAGGAGGCTCTTCGAAATCAACAGATTCGAAGTACTATCCAACATTATATTAACAAAATTATAGGATATGCTGAGTGGTGTTCCCTCTGCACTATTATGGCTTATTCAAGTACACAGTTATTTAATCACAGATCATTTGTTCAGTTAGCACAAATCTCTCAGGCAATAAGACTGAAGAAGACTGAATCCTGAAAGACCTACACACATTCAAATATTTTCATAGGAAATATATAACTTTAAAGCTGTTATTGAAGTATGCCATTTTGGAAACACTGATTGAATTCTTTGTTGATGTTCAGGATCCCAGAAATAATCATATTACCTCTTATATTTGTCCAAAACATTATCCTTATTCACAGCATAAAAAGGACAAGGTTGTTTTCGTTATGTGTCCTTTGGCTTTGGTGTTATGCAAGAACACTGCAAGAATGTCTTCTGATTTTTCTCATGTATTAAATGATTCTTCTTATTTATATCACTTCCAAACAACTGATCCACAGTCCTTATAAGACAACTCTTAATTATTTACTGATAGAATAATGTAAATACCTATCTCAATGTGGTGTTAAGACAAATGATAATGATGATCATGAACTCTTCTGAGAAAAAACATCACTTAACAACATAAAAAAATCTTAATTTCTATCTCAATTATGGCATTGTACAAAATTAATCATGAAGGTTTTTTCCTAAGCCAAACAGAAAGGACTCACCTGAATACAGCTTGTGCTTGATTTTCCTAGCCAGACCTATGCCTGAGCAGAGAAAAGATTTACCAGACCTATGCCTGAGCAGAGAAAGCACTACAGTGAACAAAAGAATGGCTCTGGAATATAAAAGATATGCCTTTGAATATCATCTCTATCATATACTAGCTGGATTGGAGTGGGCAAGATAGATAAATATCTCACCACCTCTCATCTCACCTTTAAAATCTGGATAGTCACATGTACTTTACAAGCTGTTATAAGGATTAAATAAAACTATTTGTTTTAAGCCCTTCACACCATGTCAGACAAACAGAAATAGCTCAAATAGTGGTGGTTAATTATAGTTAGTGACCAAGGTTAGCTCTTGTTCTATTCTATAGCTACAGATGAAGAGAATTCCAGTACCATAAACTAGGGGATGGCTTTTCCTTTTCTGAAGATTTCCTAGTGTTCATCTGCATGGAAATCATCCTACTTTCTAGGTAGAAAATAGCCACTAATGCCTTTTCAGCATTTCTATTAACTTTATCTATAACACGGTTCTCCTTCCACATATAAATATATCATATATAATTTATTTCTCCACACAATACAATTAAAGGGTCTTAAATTTATACATTGCAGCCAAAAAACAAAAAAACAAAAGAAACTGCCACATTCTTTGATTCACACTCTTACAGCTCTAAATACAAGTTCTCTGTGATCTCTTTAAAGAAAACAATTCACATGAATATAGCGTTGGGACAAAAAAGAGTTTGCATCAAATGTATCTAAAGCATACGATGTTAAATTCTGAAATGTGATTGACACCATTGTCAAGTGGAAGTATCTTTATAGATACGCCATGGTTGTTAATGCTTAGTTATTTAAAGCAATGTTATTTTGAAAGCCAAGTGGTTTGGTGAACACAGGCAGCAGTAGCACACTCCCCCATGTATGGGAAGACTCTCTCAAACTCAAGGCACAAAGAAGTGTGAATTTCCCTACCCTAAAATATTTCCATACAGCCTCATGAGAGGTACCATGAATAGAATAAATATAAGTATGATCAATGCTCAAATAAATCTTCCAGATAAATTAGATTTCAATAAATTAATCTGGAGGAAAGCAGTCATGGGTTCAACGGGCAATTAGCAAAACCGACATATTAGGAAGTAAAGAAAAAAGTGATGGCTATGTGAAGCAGCTGAAGACTATGAAGAAAATAAGCTGGAAATTATGAGGGGATTAAAGACAAAAACAGTAAAATTATCCTCAAAGGTAAGGCTGAAACTCCACCCACTATCTCAAAGAAGCATGCCATCAATTATAAAGAAAGAAAAATTGTTATATAACGAGCCCACCTCAAAAGCCCATTACCATTAGTAACAGATAAATTCTAGACTATAAGAAGGTCAGAATTTAAATATGTTTTAAACTCAAATTAACCAAATTTTGAAGATATGCATTATCATGGTAATTTTGAATGCATAAACATAATGAGTGGAGGACACCAATTAGAACAAGAAAATGGATAGGAAGAATGAATTTGCTGCAAGTAGAGAAGTAGAAGATTTGAGCCTTGTCCATACCTTCCATTTCCCATCAGTGATCCCTGCCTCCTTCCTGCTAACTTAACCTTCCTCATTCACAGGAAGCTTTAGCCGTCTATTTCATTATTACTATTACTACTACTATTATTATTTCTACCAATTAAATAATATTCCTGGTGTGTTCATGAAGACTGTGGCAAAAAGAAATAAAAATGGCTGCACTTCCAGTGTGCTAAAATAAGCCATTGGAAGAAAAATACAAAAACGAAGAAATGAAGAAATGAACTTACAGTATCTGTTGGTGAACTACTATGTGATTGACATTAACAGACAAGAAATATATCCCAGAATTACTGTACTTACATTACCGGAAACCTCCTGTCCGTCTCCACTATCTCCAGAACTCGAGACAGGAGGAACACTAGGACTGAAGGCCATGAGGTCGGTCTTGGGCGGCCCCTCCCCAGAGCACACCCTCTGCCTCCTCTGCTGTGAATACGACCAACTCTCCACTGCGCTGGAGCACAAGAGCGTGGGCTTCCCGGATCCGCACGCGCCCTCAGTGGGCGGCGCCGAGCACCGCAGCGCCGTGTACAGTAGCAGCGTGAGCACCAACAGGCTGGACACAGCGCAGATGGCGACAATCAGATACACGTTGACATCCACAAGAATCGCCTCAGGGCCTGCGGCGCCTGCAGATGCTCGAGAAGAGGCCTTCGGCGCCTGGCCGCTCTCCACCAGCGACAGCAGCACAGTGGCCGTGGCCGTCAGCGCGGGCTCGCCATGGTCCTTCACCAGCACCAGCAGGGGCTGGCGAGGCGCGTCCGCCTCGTCCAGGGCACGCGTCGTGCTGATCTCGCCCGTGTACAGCCCCACGCGGAACGGGCTGCGCGCGCCACCCGCCGCCGGCTGCAGCTCGTAAGACAGCCACGCGTTGTA